TTTTACCCAAATCAGCAAAACTATCAATGAAACGATTAGTTTAAGATTGAAATCATTGAAATCACTCAAGGGAGGTTAGAAACCAAAACCCTAATCATTAGTTCAACCCAAATTTAACATTGGGGTTCAACCCCAATCATGAACTCGGAAATAGAGTTAGAGGATGAGAAGTTATACCTAAAAAGCCTTTGATTCCTCTTTCTTTTGCTTGGACATTCAAATCTCTAGTTGCATCGATCCTAGAAGCTCTTGAGGCTCAAAATTGCCATTAGCTCTCTCCCTTTCTCTTAATTACATTCTTCCCAATCAAATGGGAGAGAAGACCCATTAACTAGCTTTGAACTTTCCTAAATTGTCACTTTTGGTCCCTCCTTGCAAAAAGGTCTTTCAAAGTAACTCCAATCTAACTTAGAAGCTTCAACTAACTTCCAAAATGTTCCTTCTCCATCCTAATCTTCACAAAATTAGTTCAAGTTATTAATTTGGTCAAATCTCTAGTTAAACCTAAGTTTCACTTGATTGTCATAAATAGCCCTTTAACTTTTAATATGTTATTATTTTCACTTATAATTTTCTAAACTTCATATAAATTTATGATATAATTATTCCTTGGTGATTTATCTATATAAATCATCTTTCATTTATTTACTTTGTTAATTTAAGAACCCGGTCTTAAATTTTAGGATGTTACAAACGTTTTATATATAAAATTGTAAGTAAAAAGATATCACTTTTAATGGGAGTAATCTAAAAGAAAGTTGTAATATCTGGTCTGCCAACACTATTTCCACAATAGATGTGATATGCCATCTAAAACCCTACATATTTCTCTCATCTATCTTCTCTCGGTTAAACTGTCAACAACCGTCACCACCCATAAATTGATTTGTGTGTGTATGTATTTTTGTTTCTGGAAATCGATTTATGTATGGGTGATCATTCCCATAAATCAATTTGTTAGCGTGTTCACCGATGTCACCTTCACAACAGTTACGACAAGGACAAAATCAAGTATTTTGTGACATTTATCCAACTATTCTAACGACGAGAAAGAGGAGGCTAGTGATGAGGTGGTGGGGCGTTAGAGTTTTTGTAGGTGGGTCAATTTTTAATAACAAAAACATTAATTTAAATTAGTAAAAAGAAATAAAAACTAATAAAACAATCAAAAAGGAAAAAAAATAGTAATTTCAGATTATCTATGAAACAAATGAAACCACAAGAACCAACCACACAAGAAATAAATATATGTGGATTAAACATGTAGTAACTTTGATAGTTGTGTTAAATCAATCTGTTTTGGCAAAACCACATAGAACAACTGCATAATTTTGTCTATAAACAAAGTTCTAACAATTTCATTTAGAATTATATAAGTATTTATCTTTAAAAGTTTCTAAAATTAATAATTTTTTAGCTTTAATTCTACACATTATTAGTTGTTTTAAAATTAAATGTTCCATTTTATTTGCTAATAAAGTAGTTTTAATTCTTTAGAAATAGATCAACATTGATTTTTCACATTAACATTGCTCATTAGCTCGTTATTTGTTTTGACCTTGTAAGTTGGAGGGTGAATGGTTGAGACTCCATGATAGTTGATAGCTATGGTTTGGGTCCTTTGTATATGGTTTTTGGTGGTGTTGAAATGAAGCTCTAATGGTTAACTATAGAGTTGTAGACTAAGATTATATTTGTATTCACAATTTCACATTGAAAAATTAAACACCCTTTTATTTTCTTTCTACTTATCTTCCTATTTATGTTAAAATGGTAACAAATGTTTTAAAATATTATTAATTTTATTAAATATGACATTTGTCATCATTCAACAATGATAGGAACATGGATGAAAATATAAAAGATAAGAGGATATTTTATTTCTCTTTGACATTTACATGTCATGTCATCATCGATATGTATTTTTTTTACTACACTTATTTTCTAGCATTAAGATCGAACAATTTATCTCTTGGTTGCCGATTTTTGTCAAATGATGTTGGTGATTTTGTTTCACTAATTGTTTTTAGTTGTAATTGATTGACTTGTTGACCAAAATAAATCTTGAAGAACATTGGAGTACACAGCTGTTTAAGTTTATACAAGATTCAAATTAAGGACAAAATAATTTCGGAATTGAAAATAATTTCAGAGCTGAATATGATTTCGTAATGGAGATAGCTTCCAATTTTCGAAATGGAGATGGATTTCGATTTTCGGAATAGAAATAACTCTGATGAGCTCCAATGAATCAGAACTAGTTTGAACGGTAATGTTCACTTCCGATGAATCGAAACACATCGGAATAACACTATTCATTTCCAACGAGTTGCGATGATCAAAACGTGTTGGAATAAGCTTGTATCGGAATGCGTACAGTTCGTTGTTTTACCCGTCGGTTTGGTGTTTTATCTTGTAGTTAAAACAACTGTTTTGTGTCAGGTTTGACTGTTGGTGACAGTTTTGGGACACCCTTCGTTTATGCTTTTATCCGGTGATTAAATGCCCAGTTTTTTTGTGTCATTTATGAATGTAGCAACTGTCTTGTGACAGCTTTAGACATGAGGCATATTTAAGCTTTCTTTGGTCAAAATAAGGATACGAACGAAAAACATACTTCTCATTCTCTTTTCTTGTTCTCAAACTTCAGAGTATTATCCAATTGAGTATTTAGGAGTATCATCCAAATATTTCGATTTAAAAATGTATAACACGTTTCTCAAAGTTTTAAAGTGCTTTTAACCCCAAATATCTAAAAGATGATTGTCAAACCTACATCGTGGTAGGACAATTTGGATGCTACACATCTTGTAGCCATTCTTTTGTTTCGTCAGATGAGATACATTGAGATTGACACATCTTTTATATGTTTCTATACATTGAGATTGACATGTCTTCTAGCGTGTCCTAACCAAGGAACTTCCTATTCTCCGGTTCCAATATATTCATGTAAAGTTGTGTGTCTATATCGTGTTCAACTTTAACGAAAAACAACAAGCTTGGTTTCTTCGATAGGGTTTTGGCTCACTCAGTCAGTTAGGATTCGCTCAATGTGAGTTGACATGATCCAATATTAATTACAAGATATTACCATAGACTAAATCATATATGTTCTTATTTGGTTGGTAAAGTTATTCAAAAAAAAACATTGACATGAAAGGACTTACGACTTTTTTGTAAAGAAGGAGAAGTAGAAAAGAAAAAGAAGAATGAGTGGAGAAAGATTGGTTAGATGTATGTGTGGCCATAAAATCAACAGATTCTCTCACCTCTCAACAACTTCTATAAAGAAACAAAAAGAATTTAAGACTTTATTAATTGAAATTTTCCTTTCCTACATATAACGACAACTTGTGTTCAAACCCATCTACATCTTCCTCTTGATCCACAAATATATATTTTTTTTTAAAACATGCAATATAATATTTTAATATTAACAGAATATATATTATTAAATTGTATATCAAAATCAAAACTTGTCATTCTAAAATATATTTTATTTTTGTTAAGATAACCAATATTTTGCCAAAAAATGAATAATTAGCGATGACATATATTAAAAAAAAGGATAATTGGTTAAGGCGGATGGAGTCGTTCATTTTACGTAGCGGATAGGGACGCTATCGTTGGTATTAAATAAGGCGGATGGAGTCGTGCAACGGCTCTGTGTCTCAGGAATTTGCAGAGTTACATATCATTTTTTTAGTGATGTTTTTATTATTATTTTATATGTATAATTAAAATTTATAAAACATAAGAAAAACAATTTATAAGTTTATTGAATTTTGATATTAAATAAGTTAATTCAAATATTTTTCTAGTTTTTTGTGATGTTGCATAAGCTAAGAGCATAACTAATGATAATTTCTTTAAAATATTTTTACTATTTGAAAATCATTTTGTAGTTCTTGTCCATTCTGGTTTTTATATTTCATAACAATTTATTTTACACCATAGTTATAATTATATATTATTTTAATCTATTTGACTAAATATACAAACTAGTGTCTCAGGAATTTGCAGAGTTACATATCATTTTTTTAGTGATGTTTTTATTATTATTTTATATGTATAATTAAAATTTATAAAACATAAGAAAAACAATTTATAAGTTTATTGAATTTTGATATTAAATAAGTTAATTCAAATATTTTTCTTTTAGTTTTTTGTGATGTTGCATAAGCTAAGAGCATAACTAATGATAATTTCTTTAAAATATTTTTACTATTTGAAAATCATTTTGTAGTTCTTGTCCATTCTGGTTTTTATATTTCATAACAATTTATTTTACACCATAGTTATAATTATATATTATTTTAATCTATTTGACTAAATATACAAACTAGTTTGAATATTTTGTAGACATTTTATCATAAAATCTAATTGTTAACTTTTTTCAAAATGATAAAAAAAATAAAGATTAAAAAACATTATTACACATACTATTTAATCGTTTTCTTATATGTTATAATATTAATATTAATACGACCTAACATTATTTTCAAAAAAAGTATGTCGTAGACTAAAAAATTTAGAAAATCATATAAGGATAGTTTAAATAACATATGAAAAAGATAAAGATACGTTAATAAGTACCTTAATTTTTAACCATTGGCACAAATTTATAACAAAAAGTTTTTGATTAGTAAAAGGTTTGTGCACATCTGATGTGACAAAAATAAAGTTTTTGAAATGTTAACCATTGAAAATAACATAATAAAAACTTACATAAAAAAAAATCATAAAATGTTTTAAATAAGCAATCCCAAACACCTCCTAAATATTCATAATATTACAACCAGAGGAACAATCATATAACACCATGTTATCTAATGATTAGATAATGGTATCATGAATTCCAATTTCGTCAAACCATTTAAAAGTTGCTTACATTTATTCTTATTAATAAAATTTCACATTAATTATCAGCATATGAAATTAAATTATTTAAACTATGTAACTATTTTGACATTTTTCAAATCTAAAATAAAATTGATTTTCCCTTTCTTTGAATTGTCCACTCACTTCCAATTTTCAAAAGAATCCGTCTTGACCTAATGTCTCTTCAATGGTAGTAATACATTTCTTTCAAAGTATTTAACTTTAAGTATATAGTCAACAAATCCACAGCAATGTACAACTTTTATTGCATGCGATACAAATAGATACTAGGAACAATAGCAGAAGAAGATTGACTTCAAAACTGTAAACCTATAACATTAACATGCCACGTGGCATTCAAGAAAGTCTTATAGGCTCACCACATAATTGATGTATCTCATTTTCAAGTGTTTCTAGAAGTTTAGCCTTTGTCCTCCTGTATATCCAACCTTCATCATTTTGATCCCAGTCAAACCTCGAAGGACCACTGCATTCATATTAAGTCAACACATGTTAAAAGACAAAAAAACCCTGCCCAAAGGTAACCCTCATCTTCACTACTAGATATTCAATTATAATTATAGGAGAAACTCAAATATATATATAATCTATGTAGTATATGTTCCAACTTCCAACTAAATATTCAATTGTATGCCATTTCTTAAACCAAGGGTATTTTGGTCTTTTAATAAAACACAGAAGAATATGGGAGTTGGTAGGTACCTGACAGGTGAAGACATCCAAATCTGTCTATTTGGCGTCTGTTTGTTCAGCACATATGTTCCCAAATCACCAAACTTTACAGTTAAAACTTGGTTCTGTAAATTAAAATTCAAAACAATTTTTTTTTATCATAAATAATTGATCAACATATTAAAGAAAATTAATTTATTATCATAAGTCATAACTAACCCCATAGTCTATGTCAAAACCATCAATGTCAACAGAATCACCATATTCCTGTTATGTTAAATAAGGTTGAAAAACACTCAGATTATCAAAATGCATGATTTTTAATTCTTGCAAATTTGAACATGGGAATTTTTTTAATGACTTTACACCAAAAATATTACCTCTATCTTCTCTAATAAATCATGAATTGTTGCATCGGCTAGTTTGTGAAATTCATCCTCCTGTAGCAAAGAACTGCATGCATATAGGTATTATTATTAGCCTAATACAAATTTTTTAAATGTATCAGGTTACAAAATGCAAGTCATTTGATTGATTTGTTTAGTATATCTTCCCTATTAATTAGATGCATATAAAAAAAGTAAATTTTAAGTCAATGGTTTAAGATGTAGCAGTTTCATGAACTAAATATCACTTTTTTTTTCTAGTATACTCCATCCACACTAGGATTATATTAAGCAAGAAGTAGGATTACAATTACATTAAGAAGTTCAAATATATAGCTGATCACATGTATGTAAAATAAGCTAAAATTACGAACCTGTAATCAATGGCAGCAGGTCCTTGAGAAAGAACTTGGTTCAAATTAGAAGTCTGAGAGCAGAAATCTCTACTACCAATACGACTATGGTTATCATTATATGAAAGGGAAGAAGAAGGATGAAGAGCAAAACTCAAATGTTCAAGAACTATTCTAGAATTTGAAGAAGACGATAAGAAACGTGAGTGGTTCTGTATGGAATTGAGAGATGTGGATAACCTTCTCAGGAACTTTGAAGAAGAAGAAGCCATTTTTGCTTTTTGGTGGTTTTGAATTCAAGCCTCAAGGTGTATATGCACCAACACCTGATTCTGATAATGGAAGCAGATTAAACATATCAGAAGAGATGCATGTCTCATTAGAAAGAGGATTAAATTTGAGACACTAATGCGATAATGGATAAACAGAAGCCACAATAATCGACAATCAATTGCCATCCATGTTCAACATGGATAAACAGAAAATTTTGGTAAACCAAACATAAACATTCATGGAATTTAATTATTTTTATACCCACCAAAACAAAATATATCATAACAAAAAACCTTCAACTCATCCAAAAGGTCCAAAACCATAACTGATGTTCTTGGGTTCTAATATCCCATAGGGTTTTTAATCAACAACAACCTCTAGGGCTTTAAGCAACGTAACAACAAACTGGGAGCACGCTCGGAGCAACCTATCGATTTTCATGGGAAAAAAAGAAGAATCGATGTACCTACAACATAAGTCGGAGTCGTTGGCGGAGGCAAGAGGAAGTTGTCGGCGGCTCGTCTATGGCGGAGGATGTCGGTGGCTTCGTCTGTGGCGGAGGCTGTCGGCGAACCAGTGGAGCCGCTTGTTGCAGAAGAAATCGAGAGGTAGGAGAAGGAATGAGGATCGATGGAGTAGAAACTAGAAAGGGGAAAAAAGAAGCGGATGAAATATTGAGGAAGGGCACACGCGTACTTTTTTTTTTTATTCAGATCCATCTCAATGTCTGACCGAATAGGTGACAAAATTAAGGTTCAGATGTCAAAATAAAATTTAAACAAACGCTCTTAATCGGACAGATTCATATTTGCCTTTTGTTAAGAGGCGATAAGAGCTAAACAAACAGCCCTAAGTCTATTAAATGTATCAGAAGACTTTTCGGTTCTCTCCAGGGAGAAATTTGATGATATGAGAGTCACCTACAACAATAACTTTGAAAATCTAGATATTCTTGTCCTAATCCAATCTACTCAACAATGCAATATTGCTTAATAGAATCGAATGGCTTATCCAACTAATAGAAATGAGAGAGTAACATAAGCCATGAGGAAATACCAAGTAATTTTTCTGAACCTAAAGTCACTCGGTGATTTATGATGTAATGTTATGAGCCTCAAGTTTGTAATAAATTTGTTAGATTGAGATTCAGATGGATTTGCAAAGATAAAATAGTAACTGCTGGGGTTGGAATGTGTATACCTTAAAAGTTAAACCGGTGAATCCAACACCTCTCCAGTCGCTAGTGCCTTCATGCCGACGCCTAATAACGGAGCTGGTTCGCTGGAGAGTGGAGAAGGGAGACAAGAGCTACAGAAAGGTATTCGATTGTTGACAGTAAAGATTAAAGAATTAGGGCTGAACAATTTAGTTTTGGGGATTTTACTCATTTTAGAATATAAAATAGAAAATGAAATTAAAAGCTCCATAAGTTGGGCTTCTATTATGTAAAACTAAAAACAAAACAATCCGTTTTTATTTTATGCATTTTCACAAATATTTTTCTTACGATATTAATTCACTAGCTGTATAGTGTTTCATTAAAATAAAATGTTAAATACAAATAATTAAACGGAAAATTTTTTTGAATTTGAAATTTAAAATAAGTAAAAATTATGAGAAAAATAAAAAATTAGGGCTGAACAATTTGAAATTATTGACGGTAAAGATTAAAGAATTAGGGCTGAACAATTTAGTTTTGGGGATTTTACTCATTTTAGAATATAAAATAGAAAATGAAATTAAAAGCTCCATAAGTTGGGCTTCTATTATGTAAAACTAAAAACAAAACAATCCGTTTTTATTTTATGCATTTTCACAAACATTTTTCTTACGTATTAATTCACTAGCTGTATAGGGTTTCATTAAAATAAAATGTTAAATACAAATAATTAAACGGAAAATTTTTTTAAATTTGAAATTTAAGTAAAATTATGAGAAAAATAAAAAATTAGGGCTGAACAATTTGAAATTGTTGACGGTAAAGATTAAAGAATTAGGGCTGAACAATTTAGTTTTGAGGATTTTACTCATTTTAGAATATAAAATAGAAAATGAAATTAAAAGCTCCATAAGTTGGGCTTCTATTATGTAAAACTAAAAACAAAACAATCCGTTTTTATTTTATGCATTTTCACAAACATTTTTCTTACGATATTAATTCACTAGCTGTATAGGGTTTCATTAAAATAAAATGTTAAATACAAATAATTAAACGAAAATTTTTTTGAATTTGAAATTTGAAATAAGTAAAAATTATGAGAAAAATAAAAAATTAGGGCCGAACAATTTGAAATTGTTGACGGTAAAGATTAAAGAATTAGGGCTGAACAATTTAGTTTTGAGGATTTTACTCATTTTAGAATATAAAATAGAAAATGAAATTAAAAGCTCCATAAGTTGGGCTTCTATTATGTAAAACTAAAAACAAAACAATCCGTTTTTATTTTATGCATTTTCACAATCATTTTTCTTACGTATTAATTCACTAGCTGTATAGGGTTTCATTAAAATAAAATGTTAAACACAAATAATTAAATGGAAAATTTTTTTGAATTTGAAATTTAAGTAAAAATTATGAGAAAAATAAAAAATTAGGGCCGAACAATTTGAAATTGTTGACGGTAAAGATTAAAGAATTAGGGCTGAACAATTTAGTTTTGGGGATTTTACTCATTTTAGAATATAAAATAGAAAATGAAATTAAAAGCTCCATAAGTTGGGCTTCTATTATGTAAAACTAAAAACAAAACAATCCGTTTTTATTTTATGCATTTTCACAAACATTTTTCTTACGATATTAATTCACTAGTTGTATAGGGTTTCATTAAAATAAAATGTTAAATACAAATAATTAAACGGAAATTTTTATTGAATTTGAAATTTGAAATAAGTAAAAAATATGAGAAAAATAAAAAATTAGGGCTGAACAATTTGAAATTGTTGACGGTAAAGATTAAAGAATTAGGGCCGAACAATTTAGTTTTGGGGATTTTACTCATTTTAGAATATAAAATAGAAAAATGAAATTAAAAGCTCCGAGCTTCTATTATGTAAAACTAAAAACAAAACAATCCGTTTTTACTGCATTTTCACAAACATTTTTCTTACGTATTAATTCACTAGTTGTATAGGGTTTCATTAAAATAAAATGTTAAATACAAATAATTAAACGGAAATTTTTTTTGAATTTGAAATTTGAAATAAGTAAAAAGTATGAGAAAAATAAAAAGCATGCAAAAAATAAAATAAAATTATGTGTTTAGTTGTCAGACCCGTGTAATAAATATATTAATTACTAGGTTTAAACCCGTGGAAATCCACGGTTATAACAAAAAAAATACTATATGTAGTTTGCAACTGCTATAAAATAAAATAAACGAAAGGACTTATTGTAATGGGAGGAAATGAAAGACAAATGCTATAATAAGAAAAAACAACATACTTTCAATTTTTTTATTATTACAATATCGCACTTTCATTTCGATCTATAATACCCATTGCTAATAAGTAATAACAAATTTATAAACATCAAGCACCAATGGTCAATTTACAAATTATAACATTCCTAAATTCAGAAAGACAGAAATAAAGTAAGTTGATATTAACCTGCATATTTATCAAAAGTAGATTACTACTACTTGTAATTTCTTCCTTATCATACAACTTGAAAAAAAATCAGTGGGCGAAAAAGATCATCCTTGTCAAAAAATTTACATGGTTTTCAAATTACCAATTATACCATTTTTAAATACAAAAGGAAAGAAAGAAAGTAAGATGCTAATAACCTGCATATTAAAAAATAGGTTGCTATTAATAAACACCATTGTTATCTTTACGTTAATAAACAAATAGAAAAAACTTGGTAGAAATATGTTAAGATACTTCAAATTCATCTTGGATTACAACCCTTAATTTGAGGTCAGGAGGGAATATCTGGCAAATTGAAGACAAACAACCATCTGCTGCAACTAAATAATCACCAAGAATCTCAGCCATTTTTCCCATTTGAGGTTCTTTACATTGAACTTTAAAAGATTTATTGTCATCATATACATGTAATGATAGAAACAAATGACTCCAGAGGAATATATCTACAGGGAGTGCCTTGTATAAGAGACCATGAAGATCAGACCAATATGAAACCATGCAATTGAAGCTCTCATCTCTTGTCAACATTCGACTGATTTTCTGTTCTATATCGGTAGCTTAGTTCTGTAATAAAATAGTATCAAAAGAGGTAGAAATTACCAGCTTTATTTTACCCAATATCAAAGATTGATGTTGATTTTGAAGTTACATATTGGTATATTTCACTTCAATGGTAACTCATGTGTGCAACAATCAACTCTTTAAAAGCAATATAGATTAATTTAAAACTTATGTGTTCTTAACTTGTAATCAATTTAAATTAGAAACAAATTTGGGAGGAATATATACATACCTCATCGATTATGAGGTGTAAGGTATGATTGTTGAGAAGATAATCAGATTATTGTTGTGGAGGCCTTCACCTTTTGTAGTCTCTGACTTATTGACTTTATATTCTTCCATTCTTCATTGGAACTCTTCTTTGATTTAGGAGAGGACACAAGTTTCTTTTTATTGGTTTTATTTTCTTTATTAATATATTTAGATTTTTCTCCACAATCCTTCTTGAAACTCTTTTTTAAAGAACTTTTTTCACTTGTGGGTTGTTTTTTTATTCATCTTTATGTTCTTCATGTTCTATCTGTTCATCTTGTTCTTCATTAGTTACAGTAACATCAACCTACTTTTTTTTAATAAAAAGAGAGAAAAAGAAAGAAAAAAGAGTATCTGATCACCTTTTGTCACACCCCAAAACAGGAACGACGGAAACGTTCGGGGGTGGAGGACGTCATGTTTAGTATCACAAGACATGTATCATAGTAAGCAAGTAATGAACAACCATTTTATTTAGAAAGAAAGTGTTTACAAAGTATGTGTTCACAAAACATAGAGTACATAAGCACATAACAAAACAAGACTTGAAGCTAAACTGCTCCATCTTCTGAATTCCCAGCGCGAGTACCTGTCTACTAGTTTCCTGAGAATACAAGTTATTTGAAAGAGTTTATCAGCAATTAAGCTGGTGAGTTCATAAGATTTTAGTGATGTAAGTAAGTTGTAGAAAGTTGTTGAAAAGTGAAGTTGAAATGTAGTAAGTTATACGTTTTTTAGAAAAGTTCGTCTGTTCCTCTAGAAAATCCTATATTTCCTAATTTGATGAAAGATACATAAAAATGATTCTACAATCCTTTCTATGAGTACTAAATGGATACAAGTTATATAAAACTCAGAGTAAACAAACAATTGATTGTGTGCATCTGCCCTAAGTCCACAACCAAACAAGGAACAGGAGGTAAGGCGGATAACACACATCCCATTGTTTGTTAGGTCCTCGTTGTATATAACCTTGGTGTATTCACTTGTTACTCATGGAGTTAATTGTAATAGTTCCTTTATATTTAATGAAAAGATCCTTTAAGAAAACCCTTATTTCTTATAATAAAATAGTGACTACTTCTATAATCACTTAGTTTATACTGACTATATATAATCTAATATCGAATAGATAGTTGATTGGATGAATCTGCCCTAAGCCCGCAACCAAACAAGGAACAGGAAATAAGGCGGAAAGCACACATCCAACTACCTGTTGTGTATTAATGATATATAACCGTGATGTATAAACTAAGGTATTATAGAGTCAAACACCTAAAGTCCTTTAAGTCTACACTGGTTTAATAAAATGGATTAAACCCTTTACTGGTGAGTTTCTAGCTTTGAGTACCAAAAGTTCTGTTTTGAAAAGTATGCTTTGTATTAGAAGACTGTGCATTGAATTAGTGTCCTATGACTTGACCCATACCTGGTACCCTTTATGATGACTTAATGTGTACGGAACATATATATAATTAAAATCGAATAGATAATAGGTTGGGTGAATCTGTTGTAAGCCCACAACCAAACAAGGAACATGAAATGAAGCGGAAAGCACACATCCTATTACCTGTTGGATCCTATTTATATATATCTCTTGATGTATACATTAAGGAATCATAAGGTTAGCATTATGGTCCTTTTCTACTGAATGTACTAGACCCGACTGCTCTATTTGTCGTTTGTAAAATGTAAGTACTGTAGTATTGTATAAAGTGACTACTATTGTACTAATTGCCTTAAATTGAGTATTAAGGTATAATGTGATGGCTAGATCCCATACTAAACGCTCTCCCTGTCAAAAGATTATGGGATCCACATGCGACCTCTGCAATCAATTGCAAGCCGTGAACATCCACATTAAAATTATATGTATACCCAATATAACTATCACCTTTTGTTTAGAACAACGCGTTAGTGATTCATTGGTATAATTAGATCCTGTAAGTGTTCCATGCTATAGCATCTTAGTATGTTCGTTCTGTTATAGTATCTTAGTACTTTCTCTTGTTATAGTATCTTAGTACTTTCTCTTGTTATAGTATCTTAGTATGTTCTTTCTGTTATCGTGTATTGTATCTAGTATGAAATGAACCTCTAAACTATACCTATTATAGTTTACTAGTATTCTACTTGAACTGTTATTGAAAAGACTCATTTTACTACTCAGTTATGTGTGTACTTTAAAAACGGAGTTTTGTTAAACTATAAAGCAACATAACTGTAAAATAGCTTTTGAAATGTTTTGACCACTTATTGAAGACATAAGTAACATTTTGAAAGATGTTTATAACAAACAATTACACAATTAACATTCTGTTCAACTTGTATTCCCCCCTCCCCCCCCCCCCCTTAAAAGCATTTAAAACAGTTAAAAGATTCATTACGGGGTATGAACTCACCTGATGTGGGTGATTCAAACGGGTATGCGTGTAAGGATGAGAAGTTGCACGAATGAAGTCCCGAGACACAACAAGTCCTAAATGACATATAATGACACATAATAACATAATAAAAACTTACAGAAAAAAATCATAAATTGTTTTAAATATGAAATTAAATTATTTAAACTATGTAACTATTTTGACAATTTTCTAATCTAAAAACCAAATTTATTTTCTCTTCTTTGGATTGTCCACTCACTTCCAATTTTCAAAAGAATCCGTCTTGACCTAATGTCTCTTCAATGGTAGTAATACATTTCTTTCAAAGTATTTAACTTTAAGTATATAGTCAACAAAACCACAACAATGTACAACTTTTATTGCATGCGATACAATTGGATACTAGGAACAATAGCAGAAGAAGATTGACTTCAAAACTGTAAACCTATAACATTAACATACCACGTGGCATTCAAGAAAGTCTTATGGGCTCACCACATAATTGATGTATTTCATTTTCAAGTGTTTCTAGAAGTTTAGCCTTTGTCCTCCTGTATATCCAACCTTCACCATTTTGATCCCAGTCAAACCTCGAAGGACCACTGCATTCATATTAAGTCAACACATGTTAAAAGACAAAAAAGACCCTGCCCAAAAGTAACCCTCATCTTCACTACTAGATATTCAATTATAATTATAGGAGAAACTCAAACATATATATAATCTATGTAGTATATGTTCCAACTTCCAACTAAATATTCAATTGTATACCATTTCTTAAACCAAGGGTATTTTGGTCTTTTAATAAAACACAGATGAATATGGGAGTTGGTAGGTACCTGACAGGTGAAGACATCCAAATCTATCTATTTGGCGTCTGTTTGTTCAACACATATGTTCCCAAATCACCAAATTTCACAGTTAAAACTTGGTTCTGTAAATTAAAATTCAAAACAATTTTTTTTAATCATAAATAATTGATCAACATATTAAAGAAAATTAATTTATTATCATAAGTCATATCTAACCCCATGGTCTATGTCAAAACCATCAATGTCAACAGAATCACCATATTCATGTTATGTTAAATAAGGTTGAAAAACACTCGATTATCAAAATGCATGATTTTTAATTCTTGCAAATTTGAACATGAGAATTTTTTTAAGGACTTTACACCAAAAATATTACCTCTATCTTCTCTAATAAATCATGAATTGTTGCATCGGCTAGTTTGTGAACTGCATGCACATAGCTATTATTATTAGCCTATTACTAATTTTTTAAATGTATCAGGTTACAAAATGCAAGTCATTTGATTGATTTGTTTATTATATCTTCCCTATTAATTAGATGCATATAAAAAAAGTAAATTTTAAATAAATGGTTTAAGATGTAGCAGTTTCATGAACTAAATATCACTTTTTTTTTCTAGTATTACTCCATCCACACTAGGATTATATTAAGCAAGAAGTAGGATTACAATTACATTAAGAAGTTCAAATATATAGCTGATCACACGTATGTAAAATAAGCTAAAATTACGAACATGTAATCAATGGCAGCAGGTCCTTGAGAAAGAACTTGGTTCAAATTAGAAGTCTGAGAGCAAAAATCTCTACTACCAATACGACTATGGTTATCATTATATGAAAGGGAAGAAGAAGGATGAAGATCAAAACTCAAATGTTCAAGAACTATTCTAGAATTTGAAGAAGACGATAAGAAACGTGAGTGGTTCTGTATGGAATTGAGAGATGTGGATAACCTTCTCAGGAACTTTGAAGAAGAAGAAGTCATTTTTGCTTTTTGGTGGTTTTGAACTCAAGCCTCAAGGTGTATATGCACCAACACCTGATGATTCTGATAATGGAAGCAGATTAAACATATCAGAAGAGATGCATGTCTCATTAGAAAGAGGATTAAATTTGAGACACTAATGCGATAATGGGAACAGATTAAGTCTATTAAACATAACAGAAGACTTTTCGGTTCTCTCCAGGGAGAAATTTGATGATATGAGAGTCACCTACAACAATAATTTTGAAAATCTAGATATTCTTGTCATAATCCAATCTACTCAACAATGCAATATTGCTTAATAGAATCGAATGGCTTATCCAACTAATAGAAAGGAGAGAGTAACATAAGCCATGAGGAAATACCAAGTAATTTTTCTGAACCTAAAGTTACTCAATGATCTAATGTTATGAGCCTCAAGTTTAGATTGAGATTCAGATGGATTTGCAAAGATAAAATAGTAACTACTGGGTTTGGAATGTGTATACCTTAAAAGTTAAACCGGTGAATCCAACGCCTCTCCAGTCGCTAGTCCTTTGCCGACTCCCCCCCCCCGCCTAATAACGTAGCTGGTTCGCCGGAGAGTGGAGAAGGGAGACAAGAGCTATAGAAAGGTATTCGATTGTTGACAATAAAGATTAAAGAATTAGGGCAGAACAATTTAGTTTTGGGGATTTACTCCTTTTAGATATAATAAATAGAAAATGAAATTAAAAGCTCCATAAGTTGGGCTTCTATTATGTAAAACTAAAAACGAAACAATCCGTTTTTAAAACTAAAAACAAAACAATCCGTTTTTATTTTATGCATTTTCACAAACATTTTTCTTATCTTATTAATCCACTAGCTGTATAGGGTTTCATTAAAATAAAATGTTAAATACAAATGATCAAACGAAAAATTTATTTGAATTATAAATTTGAAATAAGTAAAAATTGTGAGAAAAATAAAAAAACATGCAAAAAATAAAATAAAATTATGTGTTTAGTTGTCAGTTAAATATATTAATTATAACAAAATGTTAAATATGAAGGTTTAAACTGTAAATTTATTTAAAATTGAAATTGAAGTTTGAAATTTAAAATTTAAAATTTGAAATTAATAATCATTATGGTATGTAATTTATAGAAACTAAATTAATGATATACTGAAAAATGAAAAATGAAATAAATGACAAGTAAAAAATAAATATCTCTAAATTATGACAAAATAACATGTGACATAATGCATAAGAGAATGAAATGTGGCAATACCGGAGGATTATACTTTTATATTTCTTTATTAAGCAATAGTAAAACGTATTCTTCTTTCTTTATTTCCTCTTTCTGTTTTCTGCACACTACTTCTTTATCTTTTGTTTTCTCTTCAAGAACTTTATGTGAACGGATTACAATTTTAAAATTAAAAAAAATAATATTTTTTAATTTTATTTTTTAGGTATTCATTAAAATGATCATATTTGGTTAGTGTTAGTATACCAATATGACCAATTGATCTAATCCAATTAGTTATGATTAATCGAATCGAACCGATTAATTTAACATAATATTGGTTCAATTTAAATCACCAAATAATTATTACTGGTTGTCTAACACGTATCTAGTTGGATTCATCCAATTCCATCCAAATATAAATTTAATTATAACTAACAAACATACCGTAAATATTTTAAAAAATTACAAATTTCAAAATTTACTATTCAAAGATTCAAAATAAGCAAAAACAAAAAATGCTCGAAAAAAAAGTAAATTTGTTTGGCAACAAAAGTTTTAACTTTTAGTTTTAAAAAAAAGGCTCTCAAATTCAAAAACTACTTTAGTGTTTAACAAACACATTTTTTAATTTTTTTGCAAATTGAATTGATTAACTTTTTTTTTTAAATTATGTTTCATTTTATATTTTACAAATATATTTTTTTTACATGTATTAAAAGTTTACAGTTATTTTTGTCGATCTATCAACTACCACATTTCAACTAGTTTTATCTCGTATCCTTATTCATAGCATTTTTGGGTTAAATATGGGTATGCAAAAATCAAACCCAAACAAAGGAAAAAATATTATATGACCGAAAAAACAATCTAGAAAATATACATATAGAAAACAAATTAATGATTAAATGTATTTAAAGAAAAAAAATTAGTAACTCAATATATACATAAAAACTTTCACCAACTGATTATAATAATGTTTTTTGAACGAAGTCCAATGATAATTTTTTATCGATTATATTTTTATTTTCATTTTAAAATCTCAAACAAACTTTATTTTATCATTCATATATTTATTTGTAAAAAGTAATAACATTCTTCAGTTATTTATAAATAATGAAATAAATATTTTATGACATACACGAAGACCTTTAGATAAAAGTTATTCCAAAGTTTTTATTAATATGAAAAATAATGAACATGTTTTAAATATATTTAATCAACGATCTACAAGAAAATGGGCATGGAAGCATCCTAGATTTTTGACTTTGGTAACAAATTTAATGAATTTCTATCGTAATCACATTGCGTCGAATCTGATGCTCTTATTCTAACAAACTCACTCATCGCCGTACATCTTCCCTGCAAATCTCAGCCAACCATTGCCAAACCCTTTTTCCTCTCATAATCAAAACTCTATCTTTCCTTCAGCCTTCACCGCTGCTATTTATTTTTTCATATTCGTATTCCATTCTTTATCTGCAAAAAGCTTAATCACATATCTTCAAAATCATCGATCTAACACCCTTCTCCCATAATCTTTCACCTTTTTCTATCACCCAGCCTTTTTATAAGAACACCAGACCAACTTTAGAGGAAAAAAGAACTTGAGCTTTTACGACAAATCTGGCTATAAAGAGGTTAGATCTTCAAATATAATTTCTCGGTTTTCTTCAAATTCTAGATTGCTACATGCTTTTTTATTACGTTATAATTGTATTCGAATTCGACGCGGTTTCCCCAAATTCTGGATTGTTCATGGATTTATTTCAATTGATTCTATTTCAAAATTGTGTGTTTAGGTCATGTTGTTATTGTATATATCCTATGTTTTCTTCATATTTTAGATTGTTTTTAAGTTTCCTTCAAATTTTGTAATCCAAAACTGTGTGCTCTGATTACGTTGTTATCTTATATAAACATCATCTCCAAAATTCCATCTTTCTTTATTCCGATTATCAGGGTTTCTTACTTTTTAATCATACATGTGGATAACGTATCCAAATTGTGTTTTTAATTACCAAAAAAGATCGATAACATGTTGATGAATCATGTACCTAACATGATTTTGCTTGCATAGGGAGATTCTCTAATTTTTACGAAATGCATGTTTTGTTTCTATATGGTATGTTTCACATTTTGATTACATGATTCATGGAATTAGATGGTTATGGTTCATATATCGGTATTAACCATCGTTTTTGTCAGGCATTTGTTGTCTCTTACGCATGTCAAAAAGTGGGATCCAATAGGACCCAAAGGAGTCATTTCAGTCTGGCAGCTACAACAAGTTCAAACAGTTCTCGCACCACTAAACAGGTGTGGGTTGAAAATAACAATGAAGGAGGAGTGATTCCACTTTGCGTTTTGAGAAGATCAAGATCATCACACATCTGGAGATTGAGGCGTGTTTCAGTTGGCTTATCACTTGACTACGGCTAACACCACTCACTATTTCTCAATCTCAACTCAACTACTTATATAAACCATCTTACCTTTGTTTCAGCCTTTTCATTCCATCTTCATCTTCTAGATGTAGTTGATCACTGAGTTCGTTGTCTGTGGCTATACATTTGACATATAACTCAGTATAATCCAAATCAACCCAACCCAACCCAATCTAACCTAACCAGTTCCAACAAGATGTTTCGGTTTTCATGCTTTCATTCTCCCACTCATGCTCAGAAACCCAAGGTGAGCTTCCCAATCTTTTTGTAACTCTAATTACTTCAATTAGAGGCCCCATGACATAACATAACAGATTGTACTGTGTTGTGTTTGGCGTGCATTGGACTGGGACTGGAACTGATGTCAGTAGGACAAAATTTGCAGCCTTTTGTCCTACCCAAAAAAGTGGGACATGGACTCGCTCTCCATCTCTCGTTTGTGCAAAAGACGAAAACACCCTCATCATCCTCATTATCAAAAATAGCCTTAGAAAGTTTGTCCAGTCCAATAGCATCCTGTCTGGTCCCGTGTAACAAACGCAGTCTTTGGCTGCGTTTGTTACAATAGACGGGACCAGACAGTATGGGATAGGACATGACTCGACAAGCTTTTTAAGATTATTTTCGACAATGAGGGCAATGAGGGCGTTTTCGTCTTTTGCACAGACGGGAGATGGAGAGCGGGTCCATGTCCCACCTTTTTGGGTAGGACAAAAAGCTGCAAATTTTTTCCTATTGACATCAGTTCCACTCCCAGTCTAATGCATGCCAAACATAGTACAGTTTGTATTGACCATTGTATCTTTATATATTATGTAGAAAACGGTTCAATTGCCTACGGAAGCAATGCAAAAAACATTGGAAGATTACCATGTAAAGCAACCCAAGAAAGATCCTGTCTCTTTAAAAGAATCTCCCGAAGGCAAAAATGCTACTTCATCTCCCTCTTCCATGGTTCAAGATTGGAAATCCGAAGGACTTAAAAGCACAAATGACAACTACAGTGAAGATGGACACCAAATAAAAACAATGAGGAAGAGTGTGTCTCTAGGAACCGGCCTAGCACACTATCAAGACATGCCACCTGGCGATGAGTCATCATCTTCTCATAACAATCATAGTGATTCCGGAGGTCAAAATGACGAAAAAGAAGAGTATCATAATGCTCAGGCTTCAATTTCTCCTCAGATAAGTTCAAATTTGGTTAACCACACATCGGAACTTTCGCCGGAAAATTCCGAGATTCGGTTTTCCGGCGAAGGTACCGCCGGTTCTGGCAGCCAGACACCACCGTGTACTACTCCACATGCTATTGTGAAATCAAATTCATTGCCATATTTGCATTCGGATCACTCAAATGTTGTTCATCAATCTCAATCTTCTGAGGACTTGAAGGCATTCGATTCAAGACCAGATAATTCCGATAACAATTCCGGCGAAATCTCGCCGGAAAATGACAGTGAAGGTCATGATGATAAAATTGATGGCGATGATGGTTATGACTATGTGGATTCTGCAAAAGACTGGATTGTCCCTGCGGTGGATGAACTAGGGAAGGGTAAAAGCGTCCAAGAAGATTATTCAGATTGTCGGTGGGAGGAATTGCCTAATGAGGATTTCAAGATTAAACGTATTGAGAAATGGGTTTTGGATCTTCAACATTGTTCTTCTTTGGAAGAAACAAATGTTGTTTCCGACATTATTGATCAACATGGGCAAAATGGTAAAAGTGTCGTCTTGGATCCCATGGCAGCTTCGAAAAATGACGCAAAAGCCCTTTTGGGTATGGATGCTGCTAAGAGATATATTTCTAGTTTGGGTGCTTCGGCCACATCAGCACAGCTTTCAAACCATGGATTAGTTGTTATCCCTTTTCTCAGTGCTTTCACAAGCCTTCGCGCGCTTAATTTGTCAGGAAATTCAATAGGTTTGAATCCCATCATTTTCTTTTTGATAATATGTTGTCTAATTTCATTAATTAATGATATTATTTGTTTTTTTTAGTGAGGATAACTTCAGGTGCACTTCCTCGTGGACTCCATATTTTAAATATTTCAAAGAACAGTATTTCCACCATTGAAGGTCTTCGAGAACTCACTAGACTACGTGTACTTGATCTTAGCTACAATCGTATTCTTAGAATTGGACATGGTATGTACTTTTAAATTATTTTTATTAGAATATTATAAGACAATGGCCTAATTGTGTAAGTATGTGTGTTTGGAAGGTCTTGCATCATGTTCTTCATTAAAAGAACTGTACTTAGCTGGAAACAAGATAAGTGAGGTGGAGGGTCTACATCGTCTCCTAAAACTGAACGTCTTGGATCTTCGTTTCAACAAGCTGTCCACCACAAAAAGCCTGGGCCAGCTTGCAGCCAATTACAACTCCTTACAAGCAATCAGTCTAGAAGGCAACCCTGCTCAGAAAAACATAGGAGATGAACAGCTGAAGAAGTTTCTACTTGGTCTTCTTCCTCATCTTGCTTACTTCAACAGACAATCAATCAAATCTGGTACCATGAAAGACTCGGCTGACCGAGCTGCCCGGCTTGGGATTTCTGCTCATCAGATTGAGCGTGGGGTAAGGGCGGAATCGAAAAAGTCAACACATGGAAGGAAAAGTCAACCGGCGGCTGGTCGTGGGCGGCATGGGCGGTTGCCGCCTAGTGGGGTGAAGGTGACGGGTGATAGGCAGCAGTTTCATGATGCGAGTACGAGTCTTTTGAGCTTTATGCCGGATCTTGCGATGAGAAGAGCTCATAGTGAAGGGTTGTTGAGAGCTGTTTGAGATTGGAGAATAATGGAAGTTTGATGATTTGAGTGTGTTTTTTTGTTTTGGATTTGGAGTTTGGAGTTTGCATTTGTGGTTGTTTATTGTGATATGATTGTTTTCATTCTGTTAGTTTGGGAAAACATTGTTGTTTTATTTGGATTGGATGATTGTTTATTTATTTGATACTTCTGATTGGAAATCAAGCATTGAAAATTCTAAATATATTTGTTTAGAGATATTATGACTAATTAGGGATATTTAAAAAAAATGAATATATTATATTTTGAAATAAAAGTATTTGATCCACTTTTCATGTGTTTATTGAAATGACTGTTGGGTCCAGATTAGATTAGATTTATGTGTTCTGGACTACAATTTAGGGCATGTTCGGCAAAACTAGCGGGTAGCTTGTAGCGTTTTGTTAAACGCTATATGAAATAGCATTTGGATTTGAAGCGTTTTGATTAAACTAACGCTAGAAGCTTGTAGTGCCAAACGAGGCTTTCTGTTTTAAACAGAGTGTTTTGTCAAACGCTAGAAGCTAGAAGCTCTCAAACGCTCTAAAACGCTACGTGCCGAACACGCCCTCAATCATGTTGGAGGCAACATATTATATGACAAGATGCGACAAAATGATTTTGGAGTTCTGGACTGAGAAGTGTATTTCAGGACCGTTGCTATTTTGTAGTCCTATTTGTGTCCACATAAATGTTGGTTAAGGTTTACACATGCTATATTTACCACCATGAATAGAAATGATCTAAAACTAAAAATGAATTCATCCAAGCAAATCCATGAAGAAAGTTTTGTTAACTTTCTTTTCTAGTGTTGTAATCTTGAAAAAACCAATCCTGAAACATGTACACATATCAAGAAAGACAACCCCGTCCGGTTTAAGTTATTTGTTGTCATAGGGTGTGTGGTAAGATTCAACTTTCTAAATTGCTTGTAATTCAAGTTTCATTAATATTGTTATGATTGATTATCAAATAATTTGTAGATTCACACATTTCTAAATTGCATGTGACCATTGAATTTCATAGTCAGTCCCTTTGTCCTCTTAAAGGGAACTACTTAGGCAAAATCTCTTTAGCGGTTTTCATGAAAGGAAACAACTAAATTCTGCCCCTAGAGCCTAGATTACAACAGACTGGACATAATATAGTGTATGAAATCATGGTTCTAGATTTTAATGAGGCCAAGGAATGTATTGGCGTGCTGGAATGAAAATAGTGTTCTCAATCTACAATATTTTATGTGAAAAACAGTAACATTCTGATATACTATGTGGTCATACAATAAAGGCAGTGCAATCGTAAAATTTTAGGCAGTCACCATTTCGTTTATATTTTTTTTCATGTATACCGAATAGAAATAATGCATCATATACCAACTCCCGGAAACATCAAATGAAGCGAAGGTCGTTAAACCCCCTCCGATGGAGTGTGAGAACATAAGAACCATTATTAACTATTGGATTAAGGATTTAGATGGCCAAGATTATTCTATCGTGTGTGTGTGTGTATATATATATATATATATATATATATATATATATATATATATATATATATATATATATATATATATACACACACATAAAATCAAAACATATACAAAAGGGTATATTCGTCTTATTGGGTTGTATAAACTTTGAAAATAATGATATGTCTAACCCGTAAGCCAGATTCTTCATCGTTGTCATCTCAAACTACCACGCAAGCGGTTAACGAAAAACTTTAGGAATATTTCAAGAATCTTCAAGCATTACAACGCATGATATTTATTTCAAAATACATGTTATACTATTACTCAATTATATTGAAGAACTTGAATACATATAAAAAATAAAATAACATAATTATAATTTTATATCAAATATATCAAGTTAAAAAAATATTTTATCAATAACTAATAATAAAAAGTTATCAGTCTCATGCTCGATGAAAAAAAAACGCATTGAAAAAAATAACCCATATCATAACGCCCATGGCACGTCTTTACCAACTTTTGCACCCACCACTCCTAACATCATCACCATAGTTGTTTTCGAGATTTCAGAGTCGAATCTTTCCTCAATGGCACGCTTGATGCGTTTTTTTTTCGAACCGTGATTATATGCCAGCTATGTTTAATCTTAATTAAGTTTTCTTATATTAACGTCTAGTTCACGTGTTTTAGCAAAGAAAAGAAAAGAAGGAGAAAGAAAGTAAAGAAAGAAAAAAAGAGAAAAAAAAAAGAAAAAAAAATTATATTTTATGTTTCCGAGTTAAAAAGAAATAAAAGAAAAGTTAAACATTTTGTTCATTTTCTTCAAATCCTTCCAAATTAGAAAGAAAATTAGGAGATAATTTTTTCTTTCAATTTCTTTCCACTTCCATCTTTTAATAAAACTCCATCAATTTTTGTTTTTATTTTTTCTTACTTCCATCTATTCTTTTATTTCATATGGTTAAATTGAACTCGTAAACAAGATACATGAGATTTGATTAAAAAGAAATAAAATATTAATAATTATAAGACTTAAGAGTATTAATTACAACATTCATGGATAATTTTGTTTTACTTTTATGAAGATAGTAGTTGTAAGACCAATGTATTATATGAGTTAATTTAAAAAAAATTAAATATAAAGGTCAAAATATTTGAGAACTTTGAATTTATAATAAAATAAAAAAAATAATAAATTATTATAATGGAAATATTTTTTATCTTTTAAATTTAAACCGATAATTTAAATAAATAGAAAAAAGAAACTAATAAGCTTTAATTTTGGGAATTTTGAAATTAAAAGGTAAGTTGATTAATGAAATTGATATTTATTTATTATTATATTTATTGTAATTATTACATTAAAATATTATACGAAATCTAATAAAATAGAAGAACCGATAAAATGATATGTGGTAAAAAAAATTAATTCAAAATAACCACAAAATGATATTTGAAAAAACATCATAAATGGTCCCTGTAGTTACCCAAAATCAGAAGTTTAATCCCCATGGTTTAAAAACCTCATAGATGGTCCCTGTGTTTTCAAAACTTTTGACGATTGGTCCTTATTACTAACTCCGTTAACTTTTGTCCGTTAATTGAGGGGCATTTTCGTCATTTCACACCACAGGGACCATTTATGATCTTTTCAGTTATTTTTTTAAAAAAAGAAAAAACTAAATATAATTATTTAATATATAAAATCTCTCTCTCTCTCTCTCTCTCTCTCTCTAAAATTTGGTTACGTCTGCACAAGAAAAAATCACCTCAAAAATAAGATCTTTCACTTCTTCAATTCAATAACCTATTTACAAAATTAACAAAAAATAAATGCAGAAGATTCACGCTCATTCCACCATTGACCATCTTTATCTCGAGCTCCTCTCTCAAGATTCAAAGGTTTCACCATCTCTGTTACTTACTCTCTCAGGTTATTCAACTCACAAGATTTGTCTCCATATTATTTATTAACCCCAATTCAGATTATAATCATTCATCACCGCCTTATATTTTTCCAAACAATTTAGGGTTCAACAGTTAGGTATGGTCCAGAGAGGTATCATGATTACTGTTTTTGGCTCTGTTCTTCATAGATCTTGTTCCAGCGACAACATTTTCAAGCAACAGTTGGATGTGGGTCTATAACCACTATGTTTGGCCTCCAACAACATCAAGATAAAAGAGAATGAGAGGTGTTGTGATCGAGTTTTTATTCCAACCGGTGACCAATGTAAGAAATTTGGAGAGGTAGAGAGCGAGAGAGGGATGAACCTGGGAAATCCTTGGCCAGTTGTGGTAAGTACATGGCCAAATATCTTTGCTCTTTCTTCATTTACTCCTCTAATTGCTGCTTTAGCCAACATACTTCTTAAGCTATCTTTCTGCTACAAATCATGGGATAAAATAGTTAGTTTATGGCAGGATCTCATGGTTTGGCACATATTATCAAACAGTTGGTGTGCATTCCTTTTGTGTGACAAATACTGCATACCGTATGTTTATACAGCTTACACTTGGCCGTATCAAACTACCTAGAATGTGGTCGTAACAAATACTGAAAGAATCGGCTTTATCTCCTAATCGATTTAGAATCGATATCAAACCTTTGAGACTTTATCTCCTAATCTGAAACTTTAAGCCTTTGATCAGAACCAAGGATGAGAAACAAAAGAAAATCAGAGGCTTTCATCAAACCTTTATCTCCTAGTGGATTCAGAAATTAGTTTCAGAATACTTTGCAAGAGAATCGAGCGTGAGAAGCATCTGTGAAGCAACGAAGGTTGAAAATCAAAATTGGGTGTAGATGGCGTCTGAAGATGAGATTTTAGCTTTGATTTAGAGGAATCAAGGGCTATTATTGATGGTTGTAACATTTAGATGTTGACGGGAGGGAAAGAAAGGCGATGATCGGAGAAGAGACCAAGTCGCCACTTGAGAGAGAGAGAGAGAGATTTTATATATTAAATAATTATATTTACTTTTGAAAATATCATAAATGGTCCCTGTGGTGTGAAATGACGAAAATGCCCTTCAATTAACGGACAAAAGTTAACGGAGTTAGCAATAAGGACCAATTGTCAAAAGTTTTAAAAACACATGGACCATCTATAAGGTTTTTAAACCATGGGGATTAAACTTCAGATTTTGGGTAACCATAGGACCATTTATAATGTTTTTTCTTAAATAAAACTCGGTGGAGAATGGAGGTGCCAACTCGGAAACACAATTCCTTCGAAATTTGGATGTCCAAAACCCGCCAAAGTGAACTTTAAGCATCTCAACGACTCAACCTTTAAACCCTAGTTTTCGCAGAAAAAAATTAATTCTAAACATTCTTGAATGGTGAGGGGAATGATATCAGTCGATCGTTGGGCTGAAGGCAGTCAGGTTTATTTCTTAACTCATCTTCACGCCGATCATACCGCTGGCTTGTCGTCTCGTTGGAAGAAAGGTCCACTATTCTGTTCTTCCATCACTGCTAAGCTTTTCTCTCCCAAATTCCCCGGTTTCGACCTTTCATTGCTTCGAGTTCTCGAAATTGGACAATGGTACTCGTTATCTTTGGTTTCATTGTGGTCTGGCTTGGAAACTAGGGTTGAAGTTATAGCCATTGATGCCAATCATTGCCCCGGTTAGTCTGATTTGGATTTGATTTCGTCACTTGTTTGATTTCAATTTCTCAATACATTCTGTTCGTTATTGAATGAGTGCTTGATTTATACTTTGAC